CAGGAGAGGGAAGCGGCAATGGCGGAGCCTGCCCGGCGCGGGGCCCCGTTTGGAGGGAGAGCTTGTCCTGCATGGGGGGATCCCCCCATGCCTCTGTCTTTCTGAGGCCAGGGAGTGTCAGGGCTGCTGGGGGGCTGCCAAGGGCTCCCTCCCAAAGGCACCGCAGGGAGGGGAAGCTCCCCCACCTGCCCTGCTCCTCCTCGCCATCCTGCAGGGAGTCAGGCCTAACTGTGACTGCAGCAAGGAGGAGGCCAGGTATTTGCTGGCCCCAGTGTGGTTAACATGTGTTTTCCTGTCTTCACTTATGACTATCTGTACCTGGCAGAGACGAAGAGGAGCTGAGAAAGTCCCTCTCAGAGCTGGCTGACCCCAATCCCAAGTCCATCAAACGCATCAGCAGCTGCAGTAACCCCTTCCTTGACTTCTCGCAAGACCCTAACATTGCTACCTACAAGCACGGGCTGCTAGTGCGCAAGATCCACGCAGATCCCGACTGCAAGAAGAGTAGGTGCCTGGGCATCCCGTGGGAGGGACTCGGTGGGGGAGATTGGAATGCGATGGAGAGCTCCAGAAGTCATCACAGTGGGAGAGGGGCCAGAGTCACAGCGCCAAACCTGACAACTGTATCAAAGCAGCCTCCACATCAACCCCCACCACCACGTGTATCAGACTGCGACAGGCACGATCCAGCCTGGGGGTTTGGGAGCCCCAAAGCGTCCCCTGTCGTCCGTCCTGATGATGAGGGCTGGGCAGAGGCTGGCAGCAGTGGGCAGAGGAGCCGCAGGACCTGTGTGTCTCCTGCCTGTGCTGCTGGGAAGGTTGGCAGATGGGGAGGTGCTGCAGTCTCTCCAGGCAGCCCTGCCTCGCTGTAGGATGAGGAGAGAAGAGGAGGTGCCCCGCGGTGCTGCAGCCATCGCCCCACAGGCTGCGGTTGGCTGGGTGCTGCCAGGCGTGCTCCATGGGCACTGCAAAATCCTCGCTAAGCCCCAGCTGTTTAATGCCTCCTTGATCTGATTAGATGCTGCTGTCCACCGAAGCCAGCAGCACCTGACGGGCAGCGCTGCCTTGCCCCGTTCCTGTGCGCACGGAGCGGAGCGGCGCGGGCGAGCAGCAAGGCGGGCGGCCCAGTCCCGCGGGGCGGCGCGCAGCCCCCCTCCCACAGCACCATCTGCCAGCACGCGGCCGCCGCCG